CAACTCTCTCCAAGATCTCATATGGGCCTACGAACCTGGGTGTCAACTTTTTGGCTTTGATGGATCTTCCAATACTTGTGAGTGGAGAAACTTTCAAAAACACATGATCACCTATATCGAATTCCAAAGGTCTTCGACGATGATCTGCATAACTCTTCTGATGGCTTTGAGCTGTCAATAACTTTTGTTTAATCAGATCAATCTTCCTGGTAGTGATGTCCACTAAGTCAGGACCAATGATAGTTCTCTCGCTCAATTCTGTCCAACAGAGTGGAGATCGGCACTTCCTCCCATATAAGGCTTCATAAGGAGCCATTTGGATGCTAGCGTGGTAGCTATTGTTATAGGCAAATTCTGCTTGCCACAAGTAACTATCCCAACTACCCTTGAACTCAATAGCATAAGCTCTTAGTATGTCCTCGAGAGTTTGAATTGTCCTCTCGGTTTGTCAATTTGTTTGGGGTGGTTAGCAGTATTGTACTTCAACTTAGTACCCATGGCTTTTTGCAATGACCTCCAAAAGTTTGACGTAAACCACGAATCTTGATCATATATGATCGACTCCGGTACTCCATGAAGTTGAACTATCTCATCAATGTACAATTATGTCAGTCGCTTTAAAGGGTAAGTGGCTCTGATAGGTAAGAAATGCGCTGACTTAGTCAATCTATCAACAATCACCCAAATTGCATCGTAACCAGTTGGGGTCCTTGGCAAACCAGTGATGAAATCCATAGAAATGCTATCTCACTTCCATTGAGGAATATCTAAATTCTGAAGTAGTCCTGGGGGCCTTTGGTGCTCTATCTTGACCTTTTGACAAGCCAAATACTTCATTACAAATTCTGTCACATCTCTCTTCATCTTTGGCCACCAATAGTTTCTCTTCAAATCATTGTACATCTTTGTTATATCCGCCTTATTAGGTCGAATGCCTTCCGCTGTGGGTTATCAACCCACCCTTAGTACCGAAATGTGTTCTCCCTGGGTGCATCGAATAGTTACTCCGATGAGCCTCTTCTAGAATTGTCTTCTTCATTTTATCATCATTAGGGACACAAATTCTCTTTTTGTACCTTAGAGTCTGATGATGCCTCTGTCGTTAAAGCACTCAATTAAACTAGGTCCCAACTAATTTGTAGTTTAGGGTCGACCTAGGTCATTACTTCCAAGGAGCAAGTTATGGGTTTCTTTAGGTAAAAATTCAGGTGATAAAAAAATGTAATAAATTGGACCTAAACTAAAATGCAAAATTCTAATTCAAAATGGAAAATGCAAATATCCTAAAATCTATATGAAAATTAAATTAAACTAAATAAATGCAATGCAATTTTTGGGGGGTTTTTTTTGAAGGAAAATAAAACTAATGAATAAAGAAAATTAATCAAAAAGCAAAGAAAATTAACAAGTAAAAATTCAGAGATTTCTCTTCAAGTACGGTAGAGGGGACAACTTAGGATTTGCATGGATTTAACCTTCATAACCTTAATCAGTTAATTAAACCAAAGGGAAGTGATAAGAGAGTGGAATTAATAAACTTAATTACCTACTTGAAATAAAGGGAACCCTTAATCTCAAAAACCCTTAAACCATTAGAGAACTCATAACAGTATAAGGTTGGTCAATTAAGCTTATTAAAACCAATGAAGATATCTCAATTTAATTTTGGAAATTATGTTTCAAATTATCCAATTAAACAATCAGATAATCAACCAACTTAATTAAACAATTAAGAGGTGAAAGAACCCAAATTTTGCAATTCAAACCACATTGATAATTAAACTCATAATGAAAACTCAATTATAAATTCAATTAACAATGCAAAGGTTCCAAACATATATTCCAACAAGTGTCTCAACACAAATAAAATCCAAATATCAATTCAATCCGAGAATAAAATTGACAATCTAGAACTAAATTGTCTCAACAGAAATACAACTTAAAATCATTTAAAACTAAATAATTTTAAGTCCTTGAATTAAAAAGATGAATGGAACATCACTCCCTTGTGGTCTTCAAGTGCTAGCCCAAGGCTCAAGTCTCCTCCATGCTCCTCTCAAGTTGCCTCCCAAATAAGCTTACGCTTCCATGGTATTATCTCCTCCCTCCACACTGTTGGGAATCACGGCCACCATAGTTAATGAAGAATGGATAATGAAATGCTGAATTTATGTGGGACGTGGAATGGAGGAGTTGGTGATGATGATTGAATGGGGCTTTTGTGCGTAGGGAAGGGATATGAATGTTTGATTGAAATCGTAGCGTCCCGCGGCTGAATGGAGAAGGAGAAAGTGATTGAATGTGATGATGGAATATGGTGCAATCCGTGCGTCCTCAATGGAGAATGGAAAGGAGGTCCCTTTAGGCGTTGAATTGTCCCCTCAAATAAGGAAAATATTTTGATGGGAGAAAAGGAAATTTTTCTGAATCCAAAACTCAAGCCCATTAGTAATTAATTGACCCACTTGATATTAGCCATTGGATTGTGCTTAAATCCCAAGAAACAATCTTGCACCATTGGATTCCCCATATGCTCTTTCTTGACCTACAAGAATTTAAGTGCATCTATTAATGTAGATTATATCCAAATATAATATAATCTCTATCAAAATTAAATATTAGATGTGCACAAAAATTAGGCAAAAAATTGCAAAACTTTCTAAAAATAATCTTTCTAAAAATATGAGACTTGTTTTCAAAGAAATAGGAAAAATTAATTCCAAGTCAAAAATAGGAAAGCACAAAATATTTATATTTTCAATCCAAAATCTCAATTTTTATGCAAAATCCAAAAATCAACCAATTTATTCAATAATGCATAAAAAGTCTAATCAAGCTCAAAATTATCATCTAAATCCTGAATTATTGTGGGATAAAATATATAAAAATTGGGCTTTATCAGAGTCCCTTCTTCTCCAATATCATAGTCAGGAACATCTCCACTTCCCAATGCCTCTCGAATACTCAATAGTCGAGCGTCTTCCATTTGTGTTGCCTTTAAATCTCTAAAGAATTCATAATCACCCAAAATTGACTGTAGGGAAGCCGTTGTCTCAGGCACCACCTGAAGATCCCTCAAACCCTCCAAACAGTAGTGCTCCTTCAAGCTCGTATGGAACACATGCACTGTCTTCCTACTCAAGGCATTAGCTACCACATTAGCTTTACCCGGGTGATACTTAAGTTCAAAGTCATAATCTTTAAGGAACTCCATCCACCTGTGTTGTCTGTTATTCAATTCCTTCTGGTCTACCAAGTACTTCAAACTCTTATGGTCACTGAAAACTTCAAACTGAGACCCATATAAGTAATGTCTCCATATCTTTAGTGCAAACACAACGGCTGCCAATTCCAATTCATGGGTGGGGTAATTCTCTGTTGGAAATTGTGCCCTAGGGGCCAATCATTGTGTTATGAACATTGTTGATTTATGAATTTATTAATTATGTTATCATATTATTTGCATGTTTACTGTGATGACTATCCTTGGATAACTCATGATTTATCCTAAATGTCCCTGGTCGGTCATCTATGTGGGAGCAGAGATGAAATAAGACCAGTATGACTTTAAAGATATATAGAGATATAAATTAAAGTCATAGGCATATGTAAGAGTACAAGGTGTTGGACCGACCCGCTATGAGAGAGCTGCATGGGTTAAGTCATAAGCTTCTCTCATATACAAACCATGTCACTGTGCCCTTTGACCTAAGATCATCATGGATTCTTACATGAGAAACGCTCAGCTTTGACCTAGTCAAAAGTCACTTTTGACCGAGTGATCATAAAGACTATGTTCAGGCTTAGTGGTTTTTTATGCGGAGGAACGTGAATGGTCAAGATGGAATTTGTCCCTCACATTCGTAGAGAGATATTACCGGGCCCCTCAATGAGTGAGTCTAAGAAATGTATGGCCATACTATAATGGAAAGGTAGTTCCGTTTCTATACTCAAACTACTCAGGGATCGAGAAAGTAACGGTCATGAATAGGAGGATGACGTTCACTATGCCTTATCCATGACCAAAATGTTGTGTGACAAAAGGGACGTGATATGGTTGTATGAAAGGTTACATCGTTCAACGATCCTCATATGATTTGGGTAGTTGTGATGTCTTGCTAGAGACCGCTTACGACTTGTGAGTCATTATAGTTAATGGCCCACTGCCAACTTCATATGGGCCTACAGGGTCGCACACAAAATAGCCCAACACGAGTTATGATGTCCAGATTCATTAAATCTAAGATATATCCAGATTCAATGAATAATATAGGGTGGACGTATATATATATATATATAAATTCATATATATATACACATATTATATATAAGAAATATATATGTCTTAGATTTAATTTATTAGGATAAATTAAATCTATATATCAATTTTAAATTGATAAGATATAATATAATATTTCAAATTTGATTTATGAGAATAAATCAAATATAATTCCGTTATATCTTTATTTTGAATTAAATAAATAGGTGGATTAAATCTGTAGGACGGATTTAATATAAACCATATTTATTTAATTGTTTTCTTATCTGATTAGGCCATATTTGATATTGTATTAATTTCAGAATTAATTTAGGATTAATTTCGAAATTAAATATCCTTCATAATACCTATAGCATCCTATATATTTGATATTAGGAGCTAGGGTTTTGGGTGTGAGAGTGCAAAAGTTTGTAGATAAGAGACGGTCAGGAAATAGAGAAGGAGGACGGATTCTTCGAGAAACCCTAGACGGACAAAAGGCGCTAGCACGTCGTTCGTGATTGAAAAGCTGTTCGTGTGGATACTGGTAGAGGAAGGCGATCTGAGTTGTCGACTTCGAACGACAAAGGAGGCGAGCAGAGGCATCCTGAATGGCGGAATCCCCGAGCCACCAAGAAATTGAACATCGAAGGTAATACTTCTTACTACTTGACTTAAACATGATTGGTAGATCTGGGCAAGGGATTGAAAATTTTAAAATTTATCTTCCGTTGCGCGTCTTTCAATTCCCTTCATTCTCCTCATGGGGCCCCAATTGTCTTGATGCATAGGCTGCCACTTTGCTTCCCTGCATAAGGACACAACCTAAGCCCTTAAGTGAAGCATCTGTACATAATGTGTATGGACGATTAGGGTCTGGAATAGTAAGCACTGGAGCAGTGGTTAATCTCACCTTCAACTCTTGGAAAGCTACCTCACACTTATCACTCCAAATGAATGGTTGATCCTTCTTAGTCAACTTAGTCAATGGCATAGCAATTTGAGAGAATCCTTCAATAAATCTTCGGTAGTAGCTGGCTAAAACGACAAAACTCCTCACCTTCGTCACAGACTTCAGGGATTCCCACTTCAATACAGCATCCACTTTACTAGGATCAATGGCTACTCCTTCCGCAAACACCATAAGACCAAGAAATTTTACTTCTTTAAGCCAAAACTCAGACAACTTGGCATATAACTGGTGGTCTTTTAGTATTTGCAATGTAATACGAAGATGCTCCTGATGATGCTCCTCATTTTAAGAGTAGATAAGGATGTCGTCGATGAAAACCACGATAAACTGATCCAGGTAAGGCCAAAAGATTTGATTCATATAATCCATGAAGATGGCAGGGGCATTTGTTAAACTGAAAAGCATGACCAAGTACTCATAGTGACCATATCTTGTGCGAAAAGCAGTCTTTGGAATATACTCTGCTCTAACCCTAAGCTGATGGTACCCTGATCTCAAGTCAATCTTAGAGAAGATAGACAATCCAACAAGCTGATCCAAGAGGTCATCTATCCATGGTAATGGGTACTTATTCTTGATCGTTACTTTATTCAACAGACGGTAGTCAATACACAAACGCAGGCTACCATCCTTCTTCCTGACAAACAATACTAGTGAACCCCATGGTGAAACACTTGGTCGAATGAATCCTTTCTCAAGTAGTTCTTCTATTTGCTTCTTTAACTCAGCCAGCTCTGAAGGAGACATCCGATAGGGTGCCTTTGAAATGGGAGCTGTGCCACGTACTAGATCAATGGAGAATTCAACCTCTCTCTCTAGGGGTAACCCGAATACCTCCTCTGGAAATACCTTTGGGAACTCTTTTACCACTTCAATCTGATCAATACTAACTTCCTTATCCACATTAGTAGAGAAGAACATTGCATATGTCTAGTAACCTCCTCGAATACACTTGTTCACTTGAGCAGCTGATAATAACATAGGACTCACAATAGTCTCAACATACATAGCCTAAAGAGAAAAAGTCACAAGTTTCTTCTTACAGTAAAGGATGGCATCATTAGCTGACAACCAATCCATGCCAATAATCATATCAATACCTTTAAGCGGAAAACAAATCAAATCAATCACAGAATCACGATTCTCAAATCGAAGGGCAATATTTAAGTATGCTTGAGAAGTCATGACTGTAGCCACAGCAGGTGTAGAAACTCTCAAATTATAAGGTAAGTCAATCACATGAAAATCAAACTTCTTAACACACCCAACAGATATGAAAGAATGCGTAGCACCAGAATCAAATAAAACTGGAATAACATGTCCTTGGAGTGAAACTGTACCTCGAATCATATTAGGAGACTGATAAACCTTGTCGCTAGGTAATCAAAGTTTTACTAGGGAAAATGCAGCAAGTGAGGCACTACCTAGGTCATTCTTCACAAGGAGCCTTAGTTGTATTTCAATTCTTAACAATTCACTTTTAATTATCAAATTACCAAGATGAGAGCTTGAGTTCAAAAAAAGAGAAATCAAAACAAGAAACAAATCTAATGAAAGGTAAATTGCAAATGAGATTTAGATGAGAGATAGTAGTTCCCCTAGCAATTTATCCAACCTTTCTTGTTCAATCTTATAATTTGAAGTCTCTTAGTGTCAATTAAATGGATAGATTCAGCTACTACTCAAATCTCTCTTAACATAGATCAGAAACAACTATCTTACTAGATTCATTGTTTTGATCCATGAGAAGGAAAATCAATTGACAAGAACACTTGAGAAACAAGTTGCAATTCTCTAAGAATGACCACAACTGTGAATCATCAATGTATTTAACCAAAATTCAGATTTACAGAACAACAGTCCAAGTAAAATGAATTAGATTTACAAATTAACAGAGAATCCTCTATTCAACTGAACTAAAGGACACAACTCACATCTGAATGTTCAATCAGATCTAAATTCCAAGAAACATAAATCTAATCACTCAACCTTCATTCTAATCACAATTGTTCAACTGAAACAAATGACTCTTAGAATAGAAAGTGGAAAATAGATCTGAAATGACTCCCTGTTCAGCTCCATGAACTCAGGTCAGCTTCATTGCTAGAAGAACTTGGAAATTCAGCTACTCATACTCTGGATTAGGGTAGAAACAACAAGAATTGATGAAAGATCCATGGTTGATCGGTGGAATTTGATGAAATTGGACGAAAATGGAAGAGAGAAATGAGAGAGGGCGGAGAGAACAAGAAAATCACGTTGGAGGGAGATTGAGCAACTGAAATCCGATGCTCCTCTGAAGCACGCAACTTCAACTTTTAAATCTGGAAATTTCGGTCGTCCGCCGCGGCTCCTTTGTCAATCCGCCGTGGCGCCTGTCCTGTACGGCGTCGTTTTGATTAATGATCCTGAGCTTCATGAAAACCTCCGTCTGCCGTGGCACCTTAGTCCATCCGCCGCGGCGCTTTGCCAAATCAACCGTGGCGCCTCAGACAGAATGGTGAAAATGCTACTGAAACTTCCTGGAATTCATACCAAAGCAGGGATCAAAAGTACACACATATAAAATCATATAAAAACATGTAAAAACACTTGCAAAACCTCGCAATTCCTCTCACCAACTCTTATACACAATGGAAGCTAATTATGCCCAAAGTATGCAAATATAGATGGCAAAAGCATGAGTTTAGGGCTAGAAATATATGCAAATAATGGGACCTATCAACTCCCCCACACTTAGCTTTTGCACTCCTAGGCAAATCAGGTCTAAACAATATGTGAAAGAGAAAGATGAGAGATAAGGAATAAGCAAGCTCAAAAGTTCAGGTTACAACTACAGCCAACAATGATTCTTCAACCAACATCCATCCATGGAACATTCTAGTGCAAAGAAATCAAGCAATGATATGTAATTTAATCTAAGTGAATAAGATATAGAAGACCACACAAGGGAATTAGTGTATCACTCAACTCACAAATGTTTAAGGTTCTTTCACTCAATTCACTTGTTCAAATGCTCTACCATATGCTTGTAATAGCTCTACCTCTCCACCACTCAAATACATAAGTACTCAAGAATCAAGAGGACTTTTGTGGCTTGTAATGTAAAGGTGGGAAAGAAATGCACGAGAATGCATATGAAAGAGAGGATAGTATGCAAATCAATGTGTAGAATTCAATGGCATTAGTGATGTTCAATTTAAGGTTTGATTTCTTGATCTTGAATTCTTAAGCTATAAAGGTGCTTTTATTCCCACTTTCTTTTCCTTTCTTGCTTTTTCATTTATTTTCAACTTTTCTCTTTCTCTCTTCTTTTTTTTTTATATATTTCGCACGTTTCGTCTTTTCTTTTTCTCTTTCAATTTTTTTTTCTCCAGTATGCACTTCCTCAAATCAATCCATTAATTGAATCCATCAAAATGCTAGTGAATTCTGAAAGGAATGAATGAAATGAGATATGCATCCTTGTAGGGAAGAAGTTTTATAATTGAGAGTGAAATGAATGGAAAAATTCAACTAAAAGGCTCAAATGGGTAACAAGGGATAACTCTTGTAGGGGTTGGCCATTTGGTCTAAGTAGCTAATTTGAATGAATGCCTCAATCATGTTCAAGAGTACTAATGTTACATGTGGTCTTGATTAAGAACTAAGACAAGTTCTAGAGAGCATAAGAACTAAGTGAATGCACACATCAGAAATGAATATAAAGGCTCAAAGAATCCTTCCAACTAGGCTTTGTCTTCCATATTCATTCACTCAGCTAAAGAACACATCATGCTTAATCTCTATGCAGTAGAAAATTTCACTTCAGGATATTTAATTTCCAAATCAAATCAGTCACAAATGTAACATTAGAATTCCTGAACCAAGCTTAAACCTTCAAAAAGTTTTTTGAAAAACTGAGGTCCTACAAAAGACACAAAACACACAAAAACACAACATTCACTCCCCCACACTTGATCCTTGCATTGCCCTCAATGCAAATTTGAACAAAAGATAGCAAGGAAAATTGGTAAAGGAAGGAATGGAAAGCAACAGAACATTTCAAAACAAACTACAAACAACCTACACTTGCTACTAATTATGCCCTCCCCCACACTTGTTCAAAAATGGAGTTCAAGAATGATAATAATCAAATAAACACAGACTAAAGAGTGTAAGGAAGGGAACAACCTGAAATTATGGTAGATCAAAATTCTCCTTGTAAATTTTGAGCAGGTGACCATTGACCTTGAAAGTCTTACTACTCTTCTCATCTAGCAGCTCTATCATGCCAAACTTGTGGACTTTAGTGACCAAGTATGGTCCTTCCCATCTAGTGCTCAACTTTCCAGGTTTAAATGTGAATCGTGCTTTGTACAGCAACACTTTATCTCCAACCTTGAAAGTCTTCCTTAGGATTTGCTTGTCATGAATCATCTTCGTCTTCTCTTTATAGAACCTGGAATTCTCATATGCTTCAAGTCTCAACTCTTCAAGTTCCTGCAATTGCAATAATCTTTCCATACCAGCAGAATCAAAATCAAGGTTACATGCTTTTACAGCCCAAAGAGACTTATGTTCAATCTCAACCGGTAGGTGACACATCTTACCATAGACCAATCTATAAGGAGACATGCCTATTGGGGTTTTAAATGCAGTTCTATATGCCCACAAAGCATCATCTAATCTGGCACTCCAATCCTTCCTAGATGGTTTAACTATTCGTTCCAACACTTCTTGATTTCTCTATTTGCATTTTCAGCTTGCCCATTACTTTGGGGATGATAAGGTGTGGATGTCTTATGTGTCACACCATACTTGGTGAATAACCCTTGTAGCAATTTATTACAAAAATGAGTGCCATTATCACTAACTACTGCTCTAGGAATGCCAAATCTAGAAAAGATGTTATTTTTCAGAAATTTTAAAACAGTAGCAGCATCATTCTTTTTGGTTGCTATGGCCTCTACCCATCTTGAAAGGTAATCAACTGCAAGAAGAATGTATGTAAAACCCATAGAAGGAAGAAAGGGGCCCATAAAATCAATACCCCATACTTCAAACACCTCACAGAAAAGCGTTGGGTGTTGGGGTAATTCATGTTTCTTAGTTAGGCTACCAAATCTTTGACAAATATCACAATTCTTGCAATACTCATAAGAGTCTTTAAAGAGTGATGGCCAATACAAACCAGCTTCCAGTATTTTTCTTGCAGTCTTGTTAGCACTAAAATGACCTCCACAAGTTTGAGAGTGGCAAGCATGCAGGATGTCTTGAAATTCTTCATTTGGTACACATCTTCGAATGATTTGGTCGCTGCATACCTTCCAAAGGATTGGAGGATCCCAAATGTAGTGTTTGGACTCACTCTTAATCTTCTGCATCTGAAAATGAGATAATGAAGAAGGAATTAGACCAGCAACTAAAAAGTTGACAATATGACAATACCAAGGTTCCAAGAGAGACAAGGCAGAAACAGAACAATCCTTAAACTCATCACAAAAGAATCTGAACCGATTACTCCCCTTGTAGTTCTGGTAAGCGACTTAGATGGTCGGCCACCACATTTTCTGCTCCAGGTTTGTCTTTGATGTCAATGTCAAACTCTTGGATCAACAACATCCACCTTAAGAGCCTCGGTTTAGATTGTGGCTTGCTGAAAAGATACTTGACAGCAGAATGATCAGTGAAAACAGTAACCTTAGAGTTAATTAGGTAAGGCCTAAACTTGTCTAATGCAAAAACAATAGAAAAGAGCTCCTTTTCAGTAGTTGTGTAATTAGTTTGAGCCTTATCTAGAGTCTTTGAAGCATAAGCAATAACCTTGGAAGCCTTACCATCCTTTTGTCCCAAAACTGCACCCACTGCATTGTTAGAGGCATCACAACATAATTCAAATGGTAAATTCCAATTAGGGCAAGTCAAAATAGGTAGAGAAATCAATCTGGATTTAATCTCATCAAAAGACATCTTACACTCATCAGTGAAATCAAAGGAAGCATCTTTTTGCAGCAATTTAGACATTGGAAAAGTCACTTTACTGAAATCTTTTATGAATCTTCTATAAAATCCAGCATGGCCTAGGAAAGATCTAAGCTCCTTAAAATTTGTTGGATAGGGTAGAGAGGAAATTACTTCAACCTTTGCTTTGTCTACCTCTATTCCCTTTTCAGAAATTAGGTGACCTAGAACTATTCCTTGTTGAACCATAAAGTGACATTTTTCAAAATTCAAGATAAGGTCCTTTTCAACACATTTAGATAGAGCTTTTTCCAAATTCACTAAGCATTCATCAAAATTATTTCCATAGATGGTAAAATCATCCATAAACACCTCAATTCCATTCTCTAGCAAATCACTAAAGATGG